GGGCGACTTATCGTCTCTACAAAAAAAAAAAAAAAATCAAATTAAATTATCAGCCAAGCGTGGTAGTGTGTACATGTAGTTCTAGCTACTTGGGAGGCTGGGGCAGGAGGATAGCTTGAAACCAGGAATTGGAGGTTACAACGAGCTGTGATTGTACCACTGCATTCCTGCCTGGGCAACACAGCAAGACCCTGTCTGAAAACAAAACAAAATAGAAGGGAAAAAAAAACCCAAATACTATATAATCCCTAATACTTTAAAGATAATTTTCTATGTCATTAAATGAACAAAATAGTGCAGATAAAAAAATATACATAGAAAACAAAGCAAAATACTTTGCCTAACTTGCATTTGAATGTGCTTGTGGCCCACATGCAGTCACGGCCAGGAACCCTCAAAGCACAACTTACCTGGGCAAGCCTCCAAGGTCTAGGTCACTACCGATGTAGGGGCCTGGACACAGAATGACCCAGAGCCCCACCTCTGAAGCCATGGTTATAAAAGCCCTGGGAAGCAAAGCAACAACAATCACTTCACAGCAGAAGCTGAGGCCTAGAATCACGGCTATGTCTCTCTCCTTGTGTTCTTCTGAGGTTGGAACAGGTGGAACTTCCAGCCTGGCCCACAAAAATCCATGTAGGAGATGTGACCCAGGGGGATGGGGGCACAACACACAGTAAGAAAAGGGCTCTGTCAAGGCACAAGACAGAAAGGTGTTAAAGTGAAAGTTCAGAAATCCTACACCCAACTCCAACTTTCCCACCCAATTCTATTCCTCCCTTGCATTTTCTCTATCTGTGAGCGACACCAGCATTTAAGAAGCCACCTAAGGAAGAAACCTACAAATCATCTTTGCTTCTCTGTCTTCCTCACCTCCTGCTGTTAGACACGTTTGTTCTTCCTATTTAATGTTTTCAAATTTCAAATTCCTCTGCATTGCTACTGCTACTACATTGGCTCAAGAATTCATCATTTCATACCTTAGTTATTAGATGATTGTCTGACCAGTTTCCTTTCTTCATTTTACCTTCTTCCGATGTTTTTCCAATTGCTATCAATACTAATATCATCAACAACAATAGGAACTAATATGTATTTTGTATCAGCAGCAGGCACTACAGCTGAATTCTTTAAGTTTATTATTTTATTTCACAATTCTATGAGAAATGTATCAATATTTTCTTCACTTTGCAGGTAAGAAAATAAAAACTTAGAGCTTCATCAAGGTCACGTTTTTAATAAATGCAAGAACTAAAATTACAACTCAGGCAGAGAGCCTCCAGAAATGAAATCTTAACTACTAGGTTATGCTGCCTCTTAAAAATACTGTCAGAATGATCTTTTTAAACGCCAGTATGAACTTCCCAAATTAAAATTCTTCAAATGTTTCCCCAACACTCTCAGAATAGATTCCAAATTTTGTAGCATGATATACAAGGCCAGGATCTGGACGTTGGCTATCTCTCCAACTTTATTTTTTGACAGTTCTTCCACTAAAAACTAGTAGGTGAGCCAGACAGCATTTCTTGCACTTCCCAGAAAATACAATGTGTGGCAGAAAGTTAATCACCAAGTCCATT